GTGGCTAGTGGCTACCATATTGGGCAGCATAAAAGATGGTATTTACTGAGGGGATATGGAAGGACCCAGGACACCAAACTTGCTCTTCACCTTCTGCAGATCTCATTGCCCATCAGAAAGGACAGATAGAGAAGCAGCCGCCATTTGAGATCTACTTATGCTTTGGAGAAGAATGGCCCGATGGGAAACCCCTGGAAAGGAAACTCATCTTGGTTCAGGTGAGGAGATGACGCTGTAGCAACAACTCTTTGCCTTTTTATCAATGCTTTAGCCCCTACCTCCAGGGTAGAGCCCTGAGCAAGGATCCATCAGCCTGTGTGGGTTTTCATCCCATCAGATAGAGTAGCAAACTCAAGCTTTGTACATTGTACAGTAGGACCAAGCTAGGGAATACAGGGTCCTCAATGTGGCTGGCTGATTTAGTGGAGATCTTACCTTTCATTTTCTTATTGACATTACAGTCTTGCAGAAACCTAACAGGATATGACCCTTTCCTGCTCTTAACAATCTTTTGGGTTACTTTTAAGAGCATAACCTTATTCTAGGCAGCAAGACCACTTGGGTTTGGCCCCTGGATTTGGGCAACAAGACAGGCAATCAATTAAATTTGGCTGGAAGTCTTGCTAAATAAGCAGTTGTGTATTTAGGCGTGTGATGTCATGCTACAGCTAGGTTCTTTACCTTCATTTGAACCAACTTTTAGAGGGGACTTCAGTAGGATGTTTCAGAGAGAGGAAGGAGGCATATCCTGTATGTAGACATTAGAGTCAGGGACGGGGGTGGGCGGGTTCCCCAGGACCTCGCTGGTTCTTCCTTCCACCTTGAGCCCCTCCCGCTATTTAAAAATACTTTTTCCTCAGTGGATACTTGTGTGCTCTGTGCCCTGAACAGGTCATTCCAGTCGTGGCTCGCATGATCTACGAGATGTTTTCTGGTGATTTTACACGATCCTTTGACAGTGGCAGCGTCCGCCTGCAGATCTCCACTCCAGATATCAAAGATAACATTGTTGCTCAGCTGAAGCAGCTGTATCGCATCCTCCAGACCCAGGAAAGCTGGCAGCCCATGCAGCCCACCCCCAGCATGCAACTGCCCGCTGACCTGCCGGCTCAGTAATCATAAATGCCATCTTCTCTTTTTTACCATTTGTACATATGGATATTTTTTATTATTCAGATTTACCCAGCTTGTTAAACGTCTTTTCTTTCTAACAACGTTAATAGTCTTTGACTGTCCAAATATGTCTAGCTCTTTAAAGTTGATTTAATTTATGGAAAAAAATCACCCTTCATACTTTCCATTTCTTTTTTAAACCTCCCAATGGTAGTATAATGTAGTAGAAGGAAATTTGACCTGGGAGCTTGGACACCAGGGTTCTAGCTACAGCTTTGCTTCCGATGGTGTGACCTTGAACCAAGTCATTTAACCTCTGGGCTTCAGATTTATTACTGTAAAGTGAAGGGGTTGGAATGATGCCTGAAATAATGCCAGCTTTAAAACTGATTTGATGACTTCGTTCTACTTGTACAAGGCAAAACTGCTTGGAACAGAACCCTGCTGCATTTTTCTTGGCCCACATATTTTTGTTGCTTTCATTAAAGTTCCCTCAAGCACTGATTTGTCCAGGATTGATCTTCGTTTGACCTGTTCTGCTAGTATGTAAGCTGGCTCCCTGATGGAGGAAGTGAGAGGGAGGGGAGCAGGCTGGTTGCTTAGGAACCAAGCTTGATATCTAAATAGAAATAGGTGCCAAAGTCTGAAAGTCACCTGGCCTGTGGAGTAAAAGTTCATAAATTGAGTGTCTACAGGGAAGCTGTCAATGTAGAAGGCCCAGGGATCCTGTGCAAGAATTGGCTGTCTGGGGTTTCCCTTGCTACCACTCAGATCTCACTGTGTATGTGAGGTAGATGGGAGTGTGTGACTCAGTGGCAGCCTTCAGAGAGGATAGAGCTCTCCTTTTCTTGTTCTCTTCTTTGAGGGAGATCTGGGGGTGAGCTAGGCATCTAGGAAAACTCCTCTGACTATAAAACAGACAGTTCCTTCTTGGTTGGAGAATCTTACAGTCTTTCTGTCATTTGGATTATTTGCATTTGGAAAAAATGGGGTGTTGGGTGCGTTAAGGCCAGAGTGAAGAAGGGCTGGGCAGTGCTTTCCTGGAATAGGCTCCCCTAGCACAAACCTGCTTGTCTCCCTTCCTAGTGGAGGCAGCTGGGTGTGAACAATTAAGGTGTAGAACTTTGCCACAAACTGGTCTCATCTATTAACTTTTGCTTGGTCCCTGACCCTTTTGCTCCCCTCCCCCTTTTTTGAAGATGAAATCATGTACATGATTTAAACTGCAAGGCCTAATGGTAAACAAGATGCTACTCTCTGGTTGCAGCCCCAGTCCTCTTGAACACTTATGCCTATTTACGCCAGGCCATATTCAAGGTAGCATGACTAGTCTGCTACCCTTAAACCAAGCCACCGCCTACTTGCTACTAAAGTTGGGCTAGCTTTATTTCACAAAACATAGCCTCAACTCAATCACAGTTGGTAGTGGGACTTACTTATTTGAATGCTTAAGCCATGGTTTTAGGGTCTCTAAGGGATGTAGCGGGATCTGCTGTTGCTAAAGTATGACCATGAGAAATCTGGGTAGAGGTGAGGTGCTCAGCTGTGAGCAGAAGTTGGGCTTCTAGAGACCAGGAAACATGCAAAGTATAGAAACTTTATATCTTTTGGTCATTTTGTTGAGTGGGTTAAGTGAGGGGTTTGGTCTTGATGTCTGCCTTCCTCTGCCTGTGTCTGCATAACTGCAAATTGTAAAATGCCACTGAGGGTAAATGGGGAGGGCAGCTGTTGGATCTGGGCAGGTCCCTTTCCCTTATTCTGTGAGATGCTATAATAACAGCCATACTGTTCATCTGGATGGGGGCCCAGATAATGGGAGCTGGCAAAGGGTGTTGAAAATAGTGTTCTGGAATGCCAAGAAGCATCAGACTTTTAGTAGGTGACTGTAATGACATTTTCTGAACATGTCAGAGGAATGGATGAGTGGTCTTAACTAGATAGCCCAGTTCCTTCCTTCCTTCCCCCCCCCCCAGCCTTTTTAGAATGCTGAGAGAGTATATGCAGAGCTCTTTTCTGATCTCCTTCAGTGCTCCTTCTCTGGTCCTGATGGATAGATACCAGGTGTTTTTTCTTGGAGACAGTCTATCTCCTTTGCTGGCTACATCACTCACTGCCTTGGTGTCTTCACCTTGCTTAAAGGAAGTTAGATGGTGTCACCAGCTCTTTTTATTCACTGTCCTCTCTGCCACCAAAGTTAGCTCAAAAAGAACCCACTGTAGTTAAATTGGGAGGGCAGGTGTTGGATCTTGTCTGGTCCCTTCCCCACATCATTAGGCCTTTGGTTATATGTTCCCATGGCACTCTATTCTTCCTCTTTCAGAATCATCAATTCCATGTAATTGCCGAGGTCTGAGTCCTGCTTGACTACAAACTTGCTGAAGGTAGGGACTGTTTGTCTTGGACTTTGCTGCCAGCCCTTTGCACAGCGTCTGGTACATAGTATGTTCTCAAAGATTTGTTGTTAGACTAAATTAGTGAACTAAATAAGTCTTTTATTTTAGGGGTTTACTGCTACTCACCATGGAAAAATAAAATAAATATTGGGAAAGAAAAAATTCTGAAATTAGTTTCTAGTCTCTGCTTCTAATTCCCACAGAGCTAAGAATCAACGTTAGACTGGAAGCCCCTACAAGCTGGTTCTCCTTCCAGGCTGGGCCCATCTTTATATCACAGTTGTCTCTTTTCACCATCTGAAGGCCCCACCAAGGTAGAGCCAGAAGTGAAACCTCCAGTGTCGGTGTCCACAGTCCCCTTAGCCTCTGCCTTGCCCATGTGTCAGTAAATTCGGGCCATATTCTCAGATAAGAGTTTTCTCAAGAAATTCTTTCCCTTTGTAGTATGGGTCATATCGCTGGTAGCTATAGAGGCGTTAACCCTTCAGTGAAATAACTTTTTCTTCTTAATGACCTCATTGAAAAGCCTCTGCATCTCTGCTTCTCATTTCTGTGAAGTCAGCAAACTGAATTTCTAGAACTTGAGCTCCATGAAGGTGGAGCGTTTGTGTTTTGTACGCTGTGATACCTCCAGCACCTAGAAGCATGCCTAGCACATGTGTACATTTGTTCACAGTGACTACGCCTGCCCTACACACCTGGCTTAGAAATGATAAACTTTGGCCAGGACAGCACTTGTCCACCCACTTCTCAGAATTCTGCCTCTTTTTTTTTTTTTCTAAAGATTTTATTGGGGAATTGGGGGAGGGGAACAGCATTGGGGAATCGGGGAACAGCATTGGGGAATCGGGGAACAGCATTGGGGAATCGGGGAAGGGGAACAGACAAGTTGCTGTCCTTTTGTTCTTCAGTCTAGCTGTGGAGGACGTCGCTTCACTGGCCCATGTTGGTATTAGCATTGCGCTCTTCCCGGGTGAGGCAGCCGGTCGCTGGGCATTGGACGGCCGCTCACGTCTGCCTCTTGAATATAGGACTTAGGCTGGTCAAAGTTTGAAAAAAAAAGAAAACCCAAAACTTGACAGCACACCCATAGGTGAGGCTATTCTGTAAAACATGTCACTTTAGAGAAATTTTGTTTGGAGGGGAAATCTCACATCTCTACACACAAATAAAAGGATGTTTTTGCACCGTGTGCCCTGCTTCTGGCTTCCCGATCAAGTGGGCCACCCGACATAACAGAGAGGCAGGGCCGGACACGACGCTCAGCAGAGGCAGCGGCGAGCTGTCACTTTCACCAGGTCCGGCCTTCTTAGGTTTACTTCCGACCCACCCGGTTCTTCCGCAGACGGGCGGGGCCGGCTTCTGTCTGGCCGGAAAGGGCGGGGCCCGCGGGCACCCACACTTCCGGCACCTCGTTGGTGGTTTTAACGCGAGGCGCGCGAGCGGCCTGTATGACGTCACGGGAGGCGGTGGTAATGGGCGGGGTTGCGTTGGGCATGCGCAATACACCAACTTGGCCGACCCGGTGGCGCGAGGGCGGGATTTCCACTGTGGTGGCGGAGCCCGAGCCCTCGCCGCCTACCCGGCAGCGCGCAGGAAACTGGGGAAAGGAGCTTCTGAGCCCGTGAACCTGCATGAACCTGCATCGGAAGTGGAAGAAGAGCGTATGTGTGAGAGAGAGACCTCTGCCTGGTTTAACACATCACGATAATGCGCTCAGGAAAGGGTAAAGGGGGATTGGAGTGAGCCCACCTTCCGAGGGTCGGTGGATGGCGGCTAGAAGGAGATGGTGGGGCCAGCAGAAGTTAAAATACAACCCTCCTGCAGTTCTATCACATTTCCTTGATTTGCTTTTACGGCTCAGGGTGAGATAGTTGTTAGTCCACATTCTAGTGTATAGGTAATTGGATTTCTATGACAACTCTTCTGGCGGGAGGAGAAGGGAAAGTTGGCGGTGGAAAGTGCATTTGCAACCTGGAACTAACTGCCTCAGGACAGTTTTAGGTGAGATGCTCCAAATTTTGCCAGAGACTGCCCTGCCTCTTCCCTGCCTCACACTCCTTGAGGTTTGAATCAGAGAAAGTAGTTTACAAAAGATAAAATGTAGAGTAGAAGGCAGAGAGAATATAAATGTAGCCCGAAGGCCAGAAAGACACATGAATTTGGGATTTAGGGAGACTTAAGTCAATCGTAGAAATCAGGTAGCGTTGGTGACTGCATCTTGTATGGGCAAGGTTAGCATTCCAAAATGACCTTTGGAAGACGCTGTATGACTGGGGAAGGCTTGTTGGCAGGTTTCCTGGCATGTCACTGGCTGGTGTTAATAATTCCCTGCTCCTGCTTTGTTTTTAGGCACTTCAAGTGTCTGGAGTTCAGAGATGTGGCCCAGGGGAGGGAACTGTGGCTAGTTAAGGAGACCATGCTTGATGTTGCTCCCAGATCCCATGTCAACACCCAGTCCTCAGCTGCTGGTGGCAGCTGCTCGGCAGACCCTGGGCGTGGGAAAGAGACGGCGCCTACCTCGCACTGTCTGCCTTCACCTAGCTGGAGAGATACTGGCTGTGGCCCGGGGACTGAAGCCGGCTCTGCTCTATGATTGCAACTGTGCGGGGGCATCAGAGCTCCAGAGCTATGTGGAGGAGCTGCAGCGCCTGGGCTTCCTGACACAGGGACTTCACATCCTTGAGGTTGGAGAAAACAGCCTGATTGTCCATCCTGAGCATGTATGTCAGCACCTGGAGCAGGTGCTGCTTGGTACCATAGCTTTTGTGGATGTTTCCAGCTCCCTACCTCACCCTTCTGTCCGCTCCTTGGACCAGCTTCAGGACTTGAAGTCCCTCATAGCTGAGATCATCATGCATCTGCAGGGGTTGCAGAGGGACCTGTCCTTGGCAGTATCCTGCAGCAGGCTCTGTTCCTCAGACTGGAATCTCTGTACTGTGTTTGGGATCCTCCTGGGCTATCCTGTCCCCTATACCTTTCACCTGAACCAGGGAGATGACAACTGCTTAGCCCTGACCCCTCTACGGGTATTCACTGCCCAGATCTCATGGCTCCTTGGTGAACCCCCAGTCTTGCTCTATTCTTTTAGTGTCCCAGAGAGCTTGTTCCCAGCCCTGATGGACATTCTAAACACTTGGGAGAAGGACCTCAGAACTCGATTTAGGACTCAGAATGATTTTACTGACCTCAGCATCTCCTCTGAGACAGTTACACTGCCAGCTGTAGCCCTCTGACTAACTCCCATATATCGGGTTGTCGGAAAAGTCGTGACGCATTTTTGCAACGAAAAACAGAGAAAAAAATACATCATGATTTTTCCAACAACCCAATAGAAGGTACTCAGTAAATGATTAGTTCTAGGTCAGGGATGGCAAATAGGAATCATCTCCAGTGCCAATTCCAAGTATCTTTTGAGAACACTAGAGAAGAATGCTGTAATCAGTTGGCCACATCTGCGATGGTCATGGGAACAGGTGGTAGTGGGGGACGTGTTGGAAGTACACACTTGCCATTTTTACTAGGGAGTCCTGACTTCGCTGAGATGTCTATTCCTTTTTCACTGGATAGGAGATAGAAGAAAGAGATTGTGGAGAAGAAGGGTGGTGGAGGACAAGCAGTGCACCCTTGTATACTGTGCATGGTATGGTAGCATTGTAAATGTACCTACCCTGTGTGGGTAATGTCAGCCAGGAAGTAGGACTGGGCATTACTGCATATTTATATACCGCCAACTGAACTGGACTAAGGAGCATAGACCAGGATGTTCAAGTGTCTTATATGTGTGCTGTGACATGTCATTCAGAAATAAACGGAGCGTTCCAAGGAAGAGAGACTGTCAAGTGAAGTTTACTTGTTTATTTTACAGTAGGTTAAAAAAATAATAAAGCCAGAAATGTCAGTTGAGTTGGGAAAACCCACATGTAAGTACCCAAACCTGCTAAGTTTTTAATTGAGTTTCTTGCTTCTGATTTTCACCCAAGACAGCTGTCACAGGTTCTTTAGACCAGGCTGTCCTTGTTGCTCAGGTACACTGCCAGTGCTATAGCGATCATCACCATCAGTATCGAAAGCCATCGGCCCCATTGCCTCTGGGGTGGGAGGGGGAGAAAAGAGAAAGAAAAAGCGTTGGTTGGAGAAGATACAGGGAAAAATAACCTTTCTTCTTCCATTCTAGCCCAATGGAAAACCTTGGGTTGGTAGAGGAGATAAAGCTTTGTATATCACTTTCTCTCTCACATTGTTATCTCCCTTGGGATAAAACCACTTTACTGGCTGTCACTGGTCCATAAGCCAGGATCACTGGCCAAGAAAAGCACAGCCAGCAGGGGCCAGATACTTAAATACCAATATAACCAGTCAAGGGTGGAAGATAGAATTACATTATTCTCTGTTTATATTCCTCAATACTTTGGCTCTCCTCATCCAGTCCTTGCCACTTTGCCAATAGGCTAAAATGGGTCGGCAAACTTTTGAGACAGAAGAGCCGCCAGGGGTCGGGAAACTGCAGCTCGCGAGCCACATGCGGCTCTTTGGGTACGTACATGTGGTTCTGAAGTAAAATTGAAAA